GGGGGCGGGGGGGGAGCTGGAAAAACAGGTGTTACTAGTGAGTATATAGTTACGTTTCATGCAACAAAGGGTGACTCTTTCTATTCTTGTTTCACAAAATTCTAGTCCATGTTCCTGTATTGCCATTTTCATGCGATTACATTGTATTATTTAATTTCTAGTTATATATCTCCGTGAGATATGTACCAACTAACTACCTTGTTTCATATTGAAAAGTTTGAAATTTATCCTTAAACTTCCAGTTGTGTGTGTATCCTATGGTTATCTGTATGCATTTTTTTCTATTACTCTAATAAAATATTTATTACATTGAGGGATACTAGAATATTTCCAAGTATTATTACTTGTTCATGTTATATATTTGCACACATGGGGATTTACTGCACCTAAAAATGGTATTTACTGCATCTTGATATTTCTGCTAACCGGCACTTCTTGGCAGGATAGGAGCAGTTTCCCTCTCTGTAGCTTTGCTGCCAGAAGACTGAAATCCCAACCCCTAGAGCCAGGCCTCCTTCTGCAGAAAGCAGGGCAGGAGGGAGGAGGGAGGAGATAAATACAGGTGGGTCTGGCCCCAGAGGAGTCAGACACCCGTGGGGCAGGGGCCAGGGCTGGGACCCCAGGTTGGGCTCAAGCGGCCGAGCTCTGCCTCAGCCCCCAGGTTTGCAGCACGACGGACAAAGAGTCACCTCTCCCTTTCCCTGGCTTCATTTCCCATCTATCTAATTGGGCTGTTTCCTCTCCTCCCAAATGAAAAAAAAAAAAAAAAAAAAAGAGTAATTATATTGAAGAAGCATTAGTTCTTCATAATAATTTATTTAGTACATCGCTATTTAGCATTAAATTGCGTGGCTTGTCTTCCCCCGGTAAATTGCCTGTTCCTTACATACTGCAGCTTCCCATAAAGCCTGAGATTTTCCAGCACTTAAAACCGTCTCACTGGGAACACAGGCAAAACAGAACTATATATTTTAAGCTTTTAAAGCATGGCTTCTACCTAGGTAATAGGGAGCAGATCCAGATGCTGCAGTAAGGGTTAATAGTAATCCCAACATGCTTAGAAGTGTAAACGCAAGAGGCAAGACTTAGGTAATTTTTCTTGAGTAAATCGGGTTTTCCTTTTCAGATGGTTGTAGGTGAACACCTGCCTTGCTCTGTGTTTCCCCCAATGTTCAGATTAGTCTTCCTTTAAACCGCTCTCTCTCTGAGATCTGTTCCTCATCTCGTGTTAATTAATTCAGTTAATGTTTATTTGCTGTGATAAGACTGACTTGATTCTCCAGGGAGCTGGAAAAAAATAAGTTGTCATTGGGAAAGTATAGGAGGAGAAGGTGAAGGGCCAGTAAGGGATACGGTGAGAGGTCCCTGAGCCAGCCTACCTCTTGCAGGCTTTTCCAGAGCAGGTTCTGTGTCTAACCACGATCAGCAATTCAGTCCTGAGGAGAGAAAAAAAGAAAGAAAAAAATCAATTATAATGAAAAATGTGAATAACATTGCTTGTATGACTGGACCTGTGGATAGTGGGGAAGGTGTTTCTGTCCTTGTACTTGCAACAAAAATAGCCAGCACTTTATCACTTACAATTGCTATTATTCAAAATCCAGTAAGAAAGAATAGTAGGCTTGAGTCACAGTATTTAAGAAAACACTATTGTAAAGTGTAGTCTTTTCAATATCCTACCCAAAAATGGAGCTGCGTGCCTCCAAGCTGGTAATGCTGATGGCTACCAAAGAGCAAAGCCAAAAGCTGGGGGGAGGCAGAGGGGGAGCCGGGAAGGCAAATCCCTGGAGGCCTTTCTCCGGCTCCCTACGGCACGTAGGGCGAGAGGTGGGTGCTGCAAGGAGACTTCCACGGGGTTTCTCTGGAAACTCACAGTGCAATGCAAAACGGGGCGACTCACTGGGGTTTTTTGGACAATGGCTCCAATCGTCATTGTGAAAAGGAGAAAGGATATAAGAGTCGTGCCACCAGCTGGATACGCAGGCCAAAGAAAAAGGAATTTGATACAATTGGAAATAAGATGTTGGCAACTGTGTGTGCCTCCTCCGGAAGCCGATACCGGCGGGGGGGGGGGGGGGGGGGGTTTGGGGTTTGGGGGGCGGGGGGCCCCCCCGCGGGAAGCCGATACCGGCGGTGAGAGGAGTGCTGTGGTTTGGGATTTGGCGGTCTGGAGGGCGAGGGCTGTTTGTTGGGTTATGTTAGGTGTGGGTTTAAAGTTTCTCACCCTGCACTGCTCTTCCCCTGAGATTTGCTTTCTAAAGGGTTTCTTGTGCCACCTGAGTAATACAGGGGTTTTTTTTTCATTCTTTCCTGACAACTGTTTATAGGAGGGGATTTGATGACTCCTCCTGTGCTTCTAAAGTCTGAGGTAGCTGGTGTAAGAAAAACACCCCAACCTTTTCTTTGGACAGTTTACTCTGTCAGATATGTTGCAAACATGCAGGATCCTCTATGAATACAAAATGAGTTAAAAACTAATATCACTTTAGCCCTAAGAAATATTGGAGATCTCCATTTTCTACTTAATTTGCCTTTCACTGGTGGAATGCAGACGTGGGCAGTGCCTGTCAGGTTATATATGTTAGGTCTTAATAACAGGCAATAAAGCAAGCTGTCCTGCATGAGAGAGTGCATTAATCTGACAGCTTTCTGTCTGAAATAAATAACAATGGAATATTGTGAAAATAAAATGAGTTTGTAAACAGGCACTTGCTCTCTTAGGAAAAACAACCTCCTCGATTGTTTTATGCTAATGCTTTGAACTCCTGAAAAGCAATAAAAAAGGATATGTTTAGCAGAGATATATCTGAATGTATGTTATTGTTGGTTTATCAAGCCTACTTGATAAAAAGAGGCACTACTTCTCTTTACATCTGATGCATACATAGTGCAAGCTGCAACATGATGGGAGGGAGATGGCACACCACTTAACTGTATCTCAAGCCATCAGTCCTACCCTCTTAGAAAAGAGCCTTTCTGCGAAGACATTTCACAGCTCATAGCTGCCTCCCTGGCGTGCGTACAGCTTGGGTCCCACCGGGAAGCAGGATGTACAGCCTATAAAAAAGGACAGACATTTGTCTTTTTCCAAGCTTAATACCTATTTCTACAGTCTCGGCAAGCAGAGGCTGCCTGCACCCTGCGCATATGGGAGCTGTTTCTCAGAGGTGCTATTAATGTCTCACCTTCGGCTTAGCAGCCTTTCCCAAGGTCAGCTAAGGATGCGGACACCTCGTTAGCATCAGTGGGACTGGTCGCTACCACACCATCAGAAAGCGCTGGCTGCAGGACGAGGAGATGAAGACAGATGCTCCCTTGGCAGCCCTCCCAAAGACCAGCACGTCCCTCCACGCTGCCCTTGGCAGAGGGCAT